TGTTGTTTATATAATATAGAGTTGCAATTGATTACTATCCATATTTATTTATTATTTTTATTTTAGATAATAAACGCCCATACTAAGCCCTGTACAGTTAATACAATACAAAATAAAACTTAATAAGTTAGTTATGGTACAAATCTATAATACGAACTAAATTAATTATAAGATAACAATGATAATTATATATTTATGAATAAATTAAACATTTTAACCGGGTTGAGTTGTCATTGAAGAAATCGAAATGTTTTAATAAATTTCCTGTAGTTCGAAATTCTGTTAATCGGAGCAAAATACGGTGATTTTATTCTGTTGGTTAGGTATTATTGTAGAATGTTTGAGATACACAAGTTTTAACATTAGGGACATTTAAAGGTCCTTATTTGACTCAGTAATTCTGAACAGTTAATTTGAAGGTTTAGTAATTTGTAAAGCCATAGCACATCATTAAATTGTCTTCTTTTTTTAAGTGATAGGTACGATATTAAACTGAACTAGCAGTAATGTTGCTAGTTGCTCGAAAGATGTACCTAATTAATTTGTTTTAAATGCTAGCGCGTGGCACACGTAAAAGTCTGTTATGAATACGTTCAATTTTACTAATTAAGTTACATTAATTAGGGTTCCAAATTAGTAATTTCATATTGTAGCTTATAGACTCAAAAACTGCTCTACAGAATTTGATTGCAAATTCAGAAATTGTTCTTAGAGATAACAGGAAAATTAATAGTACCTATTATAGCTTGGGGCGTATATCGATTGCGCCGAAATTACCTTTTTACCTGTAAAAAATCTATCGATTGCGCCGCGTATCAACTCCGCCGAACTTTTTTACATATTGATTCCGCCGGCTATCGACTCCGCCGAACTTTTTTACATATTGATTCCGCCGGCTATCCATACTTACCATACCATGTGGCATATACAATACCTATATATTTTAATTATGAATTATATCATTTTATTATTTTAATACATATTATTATCCGTTATGGACGACAATGTTTGAATTGTTTTTATTTACCAGCCGGCTTTATTTAAATAAAACTTACTTTATACTATTATGGCATACTAAGTACAAAATATAAAAGGCTTAAATTAATATACAATTAAATTTTCAATTCACTCGTAACAACACTCGTAATCTTGGAGCATTACATGAACATAAAACTTGAACTTTGAAACGTCTTAATCTCCTAACATATTCTATAATATACTTATATAGCTATCGCAGAAAATGAAGATTTTTTACTCGATGTAGACTCTACAAATAATATTTTATTTTACTCTACAATTTCAAATTTGAAATTACTTTGTTCGTGTGATAAAATATTTGTAGATGGTACATTTTATAGTTGCCCTAAATATTTTTACCAACTATTTACTATCCATATTTTTAAAAATGGACATTATGTTCCATTATCGTTCTTTTTATTGCCGGACAAAAGTGCAAATACCTATGCTAGCGCATTTAGATGTGTTGTAGAAAAATGCTCATCAAAAAATTTACATTTCAATCCAACAACACTTATTGCTGACTTTGAAGAAGCTATACATGTAGGAGCACAATTTGTATGGCCTCAAATTAAAATAATTGGATGCAGATTTCATCTGACTCAAAGTTGGTGGGGACATATACAATACTTTGGTAATTACTTATATTTTTTTTAATTTTTTTTTTTTGCATATATATTATATATTATATACATTAACTATATTATAGGTTTATCAATTGAATACAAGAATTCCAACAGCGAAATTGGACAGTGGTTGAAATGGATATTCGGTTTGCCATTATTAAATGCAGAAGAAGTAAGTGAAAGCTTTATTGAAGATTTTATGTCAGTCGTTCCTGATGACCCAAGGTTAAAAAAATTCTGCGATTATATATGTGATAATTATATTGATGAAACATCAAAATTTAATCCGAAAATGTGGGCTTCTTCTTCAATTTCTTCCGAACGAACAACAAACAGTTGCGAATCGTTTCATTCGAAACTTAATACCCAATTCAATAAAGCACATCCTAATATATTTTTGTTTTCGCATGTATTAAATTTAAAAATTCAAACTGATACATATATAGTAATAAGAGGGCTCGATAATACTAAAATAAGTAAAAATAAAATGTATGAAAAAAAAAATATATATATAGAAACAATTTTTGAAGACTATTTAAATAAAAAAATTGATAGATTTAAATATATAAAACTGGCATCTAAGCACTATTCTGAAAAATAAATCAATTAATATTATTATTACATTTTAACTATTATTACTATTATTTATTTTATTTTTTCTAAATAATTTTTGCTGTATTATTCATATATTATTATTACTATTATTTATTTTATTTTTTCTAAATAATTTTTGCTGTATTATTCATATATTATTATTTACTATTATTTATTTTATTTGTACTACAATATTTTTGCTTTTTTGGCGTTAACTAAATAAATTGTATAACATTATTTTACTATTTTAATACATTTTACTTACAAAAATGTTTGAATTATTTTTTGAAATGTTTTTTTGAAAAGTATTTAAACTTAAAATAAATTATAGTTAGGTTTTAATTAATTAACTATTGATTAAACTTAAAAAAATTGATAAACTATTGATTAAAAAATATACAGTCAGCGGAATCAACATAAACAAATTTCCGGCAAAATTGATAGCCGGCGGAATCAATAAATAAAAAAGTTCGGCGGAATCGATAGCCGGCGGAATCAATAATTAAAAAAGCTCGGCGGAATCGATAGCCGGCGGAATCAATAAATAAAAAAGCTCGGCGGAATCGATAGCCGGCGGAATTGATATTAAAACGGCGGAATTGATAAAACCCCATAGCTTGAACTGCGCTCAAAAAATATATAACCTACCTTGGTCGAATTAATTCACAATGCGAAATACACCGACACCGATTTGACCGTGAACTGAGATACAATAAAACCGAGATACACCAATATAGCATCATATTTTATATTTGTTCATTTTTTCCAGGGTACAGGCGGGTATTTGTACAGATAGTTAAAAATAATTTTTTTTTTAGTAAAAATTAGTAAGTAGGTACCCCCAAAATTATTTTCTGCAACGGGCCCCCCAGAATTTAAGATCCGGCACTGCTTATATTATTTCTTAACAGTGAGTAATTATAAAGTTATGTGTTGGTTAATGTGTCCAATATTATAATGTTCAAACAGTGATATGGACATGACTGTACTTTGTTTTCTCCATTTATGAGGACCCACAACCAAATATCTACCCCTGGACTGTTAGAGGTCTGAATCCGGGCTTGGGTATATGTCATCATAAATATTTCTTTCTTATATAAAGAAACTAAGCATATTATTATTTAATATTTATTTTCAAGTTTTTAACTAATGATTAATTTTTAATTCAAAATAATTAACATAATCCACTATATATTTTATTATATGAATTAAATATTCAAATATCAACCAGAGATATAAAAATATTTTGGTCGAAACTTTATGGTGCCTAATTATCATTTATAATATTAATTATAGATACATACTTCAATCATTGAATAATTTCCTATTCCTTTGATTTCACCGAATTCTGAACTCTCACCACCTTATCCAACTTATCCTAAAGTGCATCATAAAATATAAATTATGTATACTAAAAAGGTTTGTAATGGTGAACAGTATACATTTTGCATGTAATATTTCATGAATAAAAAAAAATACGAACAAATTTATCTTTACATTATTACTTTTATTGGTGAAATTTTAAAAAAAAATTAAATAATTAATTAAGGGGCATATTGTATTTAATATGAAAACACCCAAAACGAAATCACTTGAAGTCTTGAAAAGATCTGTTAAAAAGACCAAGTGACATCCAAAACCACAAACAGGTATTAAAGACTATTTATCTTATTAGGTACCTACCTATCTATCCACTTTATTTTATGCCATTCTTCTAGCAAGAGTTCACTTCAAATCACTTGAATTCAGAAAACCCTTTTAAACACTACTAGAGTATAATAATTGTTTTCAACCATTAGTAATGTACTAATGTATATACAGTACATTGTTTAGGTCTTAATGGTTCTCCAGTATAAGTATGCACAATACGATATAATCTGTAAATATTTCATAATAAAATTGTAAAAGTGACCTAGTGACTCTTCGATGTTCGAACTAGAATGTCACAAGAATTAATTCTTCACTAGGAGATACCATATTATCATTATTATTTATAGCTATCTTCCTACCATTTTTATTATATTTATACTTTATATTCAACTATAACTTTATATTATATATTTTTTGAAATATGTATGAAAATACTAAAATTTACATAAATATTGAATCAATTAAGAACGCTTTCATTACAACTAAGTAAAAATCAAACGAAATAATTTTAGTTTTAGGTACCTAGGTATTAAAATTTTTCATAAAAATGATTGTTTATATATTTTAATATTTAGTAGATACTTGTAAATTTACAAATTAGTTTGTACACATTTTAAATGTATCATTTTAATGGTAGTATTATTTTTATTTAATTTTCTAACAATAGCAATTGTCATCTTCATAAAAAAAAAATCAAGTGGTAAAATTATTAAACTATGTCAATATAATAATAATAATTGTCTGAATAAATCAAATAAAACATACTTTTAACTTATAACTAAAGTAAAGTTTTCTAATAAATCAACAATGTTGAGATGATATAAACATAATATACCATGCGTTCATTCAATAATACATATTATTATATGAAGTCTATATGCCAATGACTCTCTTTGACTAGTATTATTCTTTTAAATAAAATATAACTATACACTTAATTTATTAAAAATCGCATGGCGAATTTGTTCGATTTAATAAATCGTTAGAATTTCAAAAACAGTCATCCAGCTGTAACTGCACTTTAAAAAGACATCAACAATTTTTATGCATTATGTATTGTTGCTAATAGCTATATTATATGCTTATGTTATACGATACATCAAGTGCACTTACCACTTTATCGTTTAAATGCCTCACCCGGCATGGCAGTAAGACGTTTTGGCCTGAGGACGCAAACACATTTTGTGGTGCATTTTCAAAATACGTTTTCAGTTGTTCGTCGACTTTTTTTTTTATTACACTACCTGCAACTAAATAGAAACAAATTAAATTAAAACAACATGAATCTTCGTTACATTCCATAATGAGAGTTTTCACACAGCAAAAACAATAATTTTTTTTAAAAATGTTTGTTGTTTTATTTTCTCCTATATACCAAGTATAAATATGGGCTGTATGTTCGGGGTAATATCATAATCCGTTAAGTAACGGGTGTTGGTGGTTTTTCTACTCATCCGCCTGACACAACTTGGTGACGAGGGCTGAGAAGGTTTCCTCTCTCTCTCTCTCTCTCTCTCTCTCTCTCTCTCTCTCTCTCTCTCTCTATCTATCTATCTATCTCTCTTTCTCTCTCTCTATCTCCCTCTTTCGTTGTCTCTTTCATTCATATTTTTGCTATATGAGGCAAAGGCATTAACAAGGAAACGATGATCATCTGGGACATCATCAATCTTGCCAAACCTCTGATATTATGAGCTCTATCGTGGGTGGTCGCTAAATAACGTGCAACCGGCTAATTTGGCTGGGACCTTAAGCCCTTGTCCACACTAGCATCGTATATGTATATTGCTAATGGATTTACAATATCGTGGTGTATCGACGATAGAGATGATAATGTTCTATAAATAATACGCGTATTCAATGAGATAATGAGAATTCATGAATGCAAATTGTTTGTTCTCCAACAACTATTTCGAGTTGGTGAATTTTAATGAAAAAAAAAAATCTTAATTAACTAAAAAAAACTAAATAATTGGGATTGTTAGTGGTTGAACTTTGTTCTGAGAAACAAAACTGCAAGTGTGCATTTTAACACCCCACATATTGCGCTTTAGGCACAACCTCTCAATGACTTCAAAGGGATGACATAATAAAATACGTGTTTTTCGTATTATGTTGTTCATTTTTTTATACTGACAGTATTGTTTATACTGTATATATGCAAGATTACATAGAATTTTGTTTTTCCCTCTTCAAACATAATTTAGTCTACCAAAAAGCACTTTTAATTCCATTGTTTTTGAACAAACTACAACTTCCAAAAACATATTATTAAATGATTTCCATGATATTTTTATTACAATTGATAAAACAAACAAACTCATTGTATAAATAAATTTAAAATGCAGTTATTGTTGACACTACTATTGTAACTGGCTTATGTTAAATCTTTTTATATTACATTATACAATAAGATGGTTGATATTAGATAGTACCTACCTATGTAAAACTAAAAACACATAGTATATTCCACTATCTTAAATATTCTATATCCAAAATAATTAATATAAATAATAAATTAATGTTTTTAAAATAATTCCATTGATAAAAATTAAATCACATCAAATACAACAGTTTTAATGCGTATGTAACTATAAACGTTTTTGTCATTATCAAATAATAAAACACTATATAAGCTCAGGAGTAAAAAAACCATCTAATTTTCAAATTGTAAAAGTTACATTTAATATAGGTATCGCATTTTATCAATTAATTTAAATTGTTGTTACACCTTCATATTCAGTGGCGGCGCCAGAACTTTAATACCAGGTGGGCCAGGCTGGGGCCCAAATTTTTTAGGGAGGGCCAAATTGTTGACTTGATATATATATATAAACAATATTGATGACAGGCAATTGCGCAGAGGGGTAAGGGGGAGGGTTCACTTCCAATTTTTTTTACACTTCATCGTGTAAACTTACTAAAACAATGATTTGTAAACATATATTGTATTAATAGTATTTATTTCCTAACAAAATATATATTCATGTAAACACTTTTTAATTTTAATCATAATTTATTGATGAGATATTTTTTAGTATTTTAATATGATTAAATTTAATTTTTGGGGTGGGCCACAGGGGGGCCTGGGACTTTTTAAGGTGGGCCCGGGCCCACCCTGGCCCACCCCTGGCGCCGCCACTGTTCATATTATAACAGTCTCGAAAAATGTTTTCTAACGTATAAAATATTTGTTATTTTTATATTAATTTCAACAATCAACTACCTATAACAATTATTTTTAGAAAAAATATAATGCAGCTTGGGTAATATTAAACTGATAAATCCTGATATTTTAATTCATTTTCAAGTTCTTAAAAGCTGTATAATGTACTTATATACATTTTTGAAACCACTCATAATAAATAAAATATTTAATTGTAAATTACACGAAGTTAAATAAGTTTAATTATACCTATTGGTAACCAGTAGGTATTAAAATAGTTAATGTGATAATAATAATATTATAACATGTATACAAATAGTGAGTATAGGTAGTATAAACACAATATTGAACGACTGCATCATTTTAATATTATGTTCAACACAACAAATTTAAAATTAGCATGGATTAAATGTTCTTAAATTAAAAATCGGTACATTTAATTAACCCAGCAGTCTTAATTTCCATTATTAGTATTATAATTTATAATATTATTAGGTAATTAAATTAACATAATGTACCTACTTCTAAATTGCATCCCAAATGAAGCCCAATTTTTTCAAACATTCAACCCTTACATAACATAACATAACCTAGCAACGACATACGAATGAGAGTTTTCTTTTTGTTTAGTGAGGTTCGATTTGGTTTATGTAGTTATTCACGTAATATGAAATATACATTTATTATACAAAAAACGATTTAGTTACCTTACCTATAAACTATTTATGAGACAATGAATATTTGTTTGTGTTTAAGAGGGGTGCAAACCCCTAAAAACTTAACCTCTCCATAAGTCATAACTCAGCTACTAGTAGTCCAAGATAATAACTTAAATTAAATCATGATAGTTTATTCATAATTTGTTGAACACAAGAAAACCAAAAAAAAAAAGGTTTTAAAAACTAAATAAATTGTGCATGAAAATAAAAATATATACTTTCTTAACTAAAAACATTACTTAGTTATGAGTTTATGACTTATTTTTTTTTTAGAAATACTGCAAGAAGTGTCTTTAAATTATTTAAAATCAATAATCAATAATTTACTTAAAAAAAATATTTTGTGCAATCTTAGTTATCCTAAAAATGGTCTCAAATTAATTAGGTAACAATTGGTTTTATTTTATTGAACTTTCCGTTAACAAGTTGTCTTTTCTCGAATGATATATATATATATTATATTTATATATCATGTAACTTAGTTATAAATAGACAAAAGGATAATAATATTAAACAATATATGTTCCAGTATGATCATAAAATAATTTAATAAACTATAATATTCCACATTTAATATACCAAATAATAAAATAAATAATTCATAATTCAAAAATAAAACGTCTAATATAAATCTGCTACTGTAATATAATATATTTAAGAGAGTATTCATTTATTTTTCGTTCGAAGCGTAAAGAAAACTATATAATCAGTGCTTACGTGCGTTTATTTGTTTCCGAAATTGCTCATATCAAAATTTCTCTCGCGTACGACATCACGTCCCAACACATCACTAGTCATTCTAGCGAGTTTGTGGATAGGTTTTTTTTTATCTTTCGTCTTCATAAAAATTTCGAACCGTTTTATATCGATTGCGGCACACCGACGATGATGGGAGTCAGTGTTTAGCCACGCGTAAGCCGGCCGTGAAGAGTTTAGATGCGCCGTGAAATTGAATACATCCAACGCGAATGGAAAAAAAGGACCCACAACAAATTACGTCGATAATTTTGTTTGTTTGGTTTTTTTTAATGTAATATATTATTATTATTTTACAATATATATATTTACATTTTTTTAATTGTTTATAAACCGTTTCGGTTGTGGTCACAGATAATAGGGAAACGTGTCTCGTAAATTGGTGACCATCTGCCGACGGGCAATCCATCAAGGAGACTCTCACCCGGCGGGCTTTAATTACTTTTAAAAGTAATAATGGCGCATACGGTAAACCACCGGCTCACATGCTCTAAAACATAAGATTGATAAGGACCGTAAAAACAGTTCATGTCAAAAGTAGTCGTTTTTTGACCCCATCCCCACCCACCATTCAGGCATCTGCCACCTTCTGCTTTTTGGGGCCTATCAAAATGTATGAGTGTGTTAAATCTGCTACCATTAGTTGCATCTCGGGAAACGTGGTGGATTAAAGCGCTATGGAATGCTTTTAGAAGACACTCAAAGTACATCAAGTCTTAATACCGAGAATAACATAAAATCACGTCTTATTTTGAATAAATAAATACATGATTATAAAAATATATCACCAAGTACACGAAGACAATTGAGGAAATGTTAAAAAACATTTAGAGAACGTCATTAGTGTGAAAATACATTTTGTTTCAATTTTCTCATTATTTTATCTCATTTAACTATGTTATATTTGCATTAAACTTTACAATAAGTCTTCTGGTTTTTACTTTTATGGATTCACGCATTATTAAAACCCCTATACATGACTTACAAAAAATTTCTTCATGACCCTTTTTTTAAATACATTAAAATTTAACACTTACTACCAATCTTTATTGGACTTATACGAGCTTATAAGAATTAATACATGGAATTATTTTATAAAATATTATAATTATAATACATCATTTAAATACCTACACATAACACATTATAACTCACGAGTTTACCTAGTAAATAGAAGTCGTAATATGACAAAATATATACAGAGAGGTATTTCTGTAAGCTGGACCGACATTATGAGCTGCAGTACATATACGTATCAGTATATAACATGTCATTCAATCAAACATGTACGCAGTTACAATATGAAATTTTCTTTCAATTTGAGTTCACGTGTCATATCGTCGAGCAAAATTTCCCTGGGGGTTAAATTTAAATTTCCGAAATTATATCCTTAAAATCTACACGCGTATATCGAAACGTTACAGAGGGTAATAACAATAGGACGGCCAATACCCGAGGGTGTATTTTTGTAAACAGCAGTAGTTTTAAATAAAACTACCATACCACCTGTAATGTGTAGGACGATAGCAGATGGTGGGGGCATGCGGGTCTGCCACTAATAATTCCAAAAACCTCTTATTAAGGTCCGGGCGAGCAAGCATTTAATTTA